AAAAAAATCTCATATAGTACCTCAACACTGGAGAATCTTTTAAACTCATTTATTTATCTTTCACACCTGTAACTATTCACTGTGAAAATGATGTATTTTTATACAATTTTTTTTTATTTGTTTTTAGAAGATTACAAGGCTGTAGTGACTATATAAAATTAGACCCATGGAAAAAAAATAACTTCGTTGTAACACGTCATAGTTAAGCCCCTTGCAATGTTTCAAGTAATTAGTTAGATTTTGAGATTTTTTTTTGTACCCTTTTCTCCATTCCAGTAAATTCACCTTTCTGATCTGGTTCGTAGACTATTCTGGAAAAAAAAACTGGATAGAAGCGGAAATTTCCTAGGGGCTCTCTCAGGAGGAGTAGAAAAAAAAAATTGTACTTTACTTAATAAAGTGTCTGAAATTTTCTTCTGGTATTTTTTAGTACATTTCCCACTGAGCCTGTTTATTGTTTCACTCTTTAACAAATATAAAAATCTAACAATTCTTCATGCTGGTTGCGTTAGTAAAAAAAAAGTATTAAATTGATGAGCGATGCTGTCGTGGTTTTTTTTTATTATTATTTTTATTTATTTTTTTTTTTCCTTCCTTTATTCATGGACGTAATTCTTTTTTTTTTTTTTTTTATCTTTTTCTACAGAAGATGCAACATGTAAGTATTTTTTTATGCGACCTTCATGGCTGGAGTATTATTCTTTGGTGAAAAATGAAGTAGAGTATTAAGGTTTGGAGAGGTCTAATTTCGGTAAAAACTTTTTATTAAATTTATAACCTTACGTGTCGTCATATGATGCATTAAATTAATTTTTTCCGTACAAATAACTTATAATTATCTATTCAATAGATTCTTAAGACTTTATTAAGGGATATTTTTTTTTGTTTCGTCTTGTATAGAAATGTAAAAATAAATATTTTGCATTTTTTTTTTATGCTCAATTTATTTTTTAGGTAACAAAAAACTTACAGTTACGAATAATTATTATAACTACAGAAAAAGTATTGATTCAAAGCTTATACAATATACAGTGTAACTAAAATAATGAAAATGTTACTTTATTACAATTTTTTGTCTTTATAAAATAAACGTTGCAGAATATTTCAGTCATTTGAAACTTTTCAGCACAAATTTTTATATTAATTTTACGAAAGTTATTTAATTTTATATTTTAAAAAACATTGTGTATATTTTCTTTCTAAATTAATCCTTAGTAAGAAAGCAAAACATAATATATTATGTAAGGATAAAAAAAAATCTGACAATATAGCTTTTCATACATTACATAAATACAAAGGTTAAGCTCCTTTACTGTTAAAAAAGTTTCTAATAAATATATAATAGCAATGTTTATAATAATTTTGTTGTTATTTCTTGTTTGTTTAACTATTCTTGGGAAAAATACTTTTGTGTCTTAAATATATGCTAATTAGAATGTTTATTATATCCAAGTACTAAATATTTTCAAATTAGTAATATTGTTCAGTTTTGAAATTATAATTAATCAATTTCAAATTATAAATAATCAATTTCAAATTATAAGTAATCAATTGAAAACAATTTCATATTATAAATAATCAATTTGAAATTACAATCAATCAATCTGAAACTATAATCAATCAACTTGAAATTATAATCAATTGAATCAATTATAATCAATTTAATCAATTATAATCAATTGAATCAATTATAATTCAATTGAATCAATTATAATCAATTGAATCGAAATTGAAATTGAAATCAATTTGAAATTATAATTAATCAATTTGAATTTATAATAAATTGAAATCAATTTGAAAGTATGATTAATCAACTTGAATTCATGATAATCAATTTGAATTTATAATAAATTCAAATCAATTTGAAAGTATGATTAATCAACTTGAATTCATGATAATCAATTTGAATTTATAATAAATTCAAATCAATTTGAAAGTATGATTAATCAACTTGAATTCATGATAATCAATTTGAATTTATAATAAATTCAAATCAATTTGAAAGTATGATTAATCAACTTGAATTCATGATAATCAATTTGAATTCAGGATAATCAATTTGAATTCATAATAATCGATTTGAATTCATAATAATCAATTTGAATTCATAATAATCAATTTGAATTTATGACTAATCAATTTTAAATTATAATTAATCTATTTGAAATTAAAATCAATTTATTCATGGAGGTAATTTTTTTTTTTTTCGTCTTTTCTTACAGAAGATGCAATACGTAAGTATTTTTTATGTAACCTTCATGGATGGAGTATTATTCTTTGGTGAAAAATGAAGTAGAGTATTAATGTTTGGAGAGGTCTAATTTCGGTAAAAACTTTTTATTAAATTTATAATCTTACGTGTTGCATTAAATTAATTTTTCCGTACAAATAACTTATAATTATCTATTCAATAGATTCTTAAGACTTTATTAAGGGATATTTTTTTGTTTCGTCTTGTATAGAAATATAAAAATAAATATTTTGCATTTTTTTCATACTCAAATTATTTTTTTAGGTAACGAAAAACTTACAGTTACGTATAATCATTATAACTACAGAAAAAGTATTGATTCAAAGCTTATACAATATACAGAGTAACTAAAATAATGAAAATGTTACTTTATGACAATTTTTTGTCTTTATAAAATAAACGTTGCAGAATATTTCAGTCATTTGAAACTTTTCAGCAAAAAGGTTTTTATATTCATTTTTCAAAAGTTATTTAATTTTATATTTTAAAAAACATTGTTGTATAATTTCTTTCTAAACTAATCTTTAGTAAGAAAGAAAACATAATTTATTATTCAAGGATAAAAAACATCTAACAAAATAACTTTTCATAGATTACATAAATACAAAGGTTAAGTAATATAATGTTAGAAAATTTTCTAATAAATTTATGACAGCAATGTTTATAATAATTTTGTTGCTATTACTTGTTTGTTTAAATATCCTTTGAAAAAATACTTAAATGTCTTAAATGTATGCCAATTAGAATCTATATTATATCCAAATACTAAATATTTTCACGTTAGAAATATTGCTGAGTTTTGAAAATATAATTAGTCAATTTGAATTTATAATCAATTGAAATCAATTTGAATTTATAATCAATTGAAATCAATTTGAATTTATGATCTATTGAAATCAAGTTGAAATTATAATCTATTGAAATCAAGTTGAAATTATAATCTATTGAAATCAAGTTGAAATTATAATCTATTGAAATCAATTTGAAATTATAATCTATTGAAATCAATTTGAAATTATAATCTATTGAAATCAATTTGAAATTATAATCTATTGAAATCAATTTGAAATTATAATCAATTGAAATCAATTTGAAATTATAATCTATTGAAATCAATTTGAAATTATAATCTATTGAAATCAATTTTATAATCTATTGAAATTATAATCTATTGAAATCAATTTGAAATTATAATCTATTGAAATCAATTTGAAATTATAATCTATTGAAATCAATTTGAAATTATAATCTATTGAAATCAATTTGAAATTATAATTTATTGAAATCAATTAATAAAATTATATATGATAAATAAATATATGAAATTATAATCTATTGAAATCAATTAATAAAATTATATATTATAAATAAATATATGAAATTATAATCAATTGAAATCAATTTGAAATTATAATTAATCATTTACCAATAATAGTATATAAACTTTGGTGGATATTTTGACATTTTCTATCACTTTTCACAAAACGTTTAGCAGTTTTGAAATTTTTCCCCTTTTATACATAGAGATTTTTTTTATTAGGTGCCATAATTATAGTTAAAAAATCACTCATAAACAAAGCAAAAAACTCAATCCAGAAATTATGCATAAATTACAATTAAAATACTTTTTAATAATATCAGTTGCTTCTAATTAAAAATTTCTTTAAATTAATACTTTAAAAAAGAAGAATATGAAAAACAGAAATTTTATATTGTTTAGATTTCAATAGAGAGAAATATTCAAATTTTGTATTAAAGTAAAATTGTTTATTAAAATATGCTCCATTGTATACTGGCATTATTTAATTCTTATTACAAAGGAATATTTTATTTTGAAGGAGGGAGTATTTTATTTTAGTGCAAACGTTGATGGATAAACTTTGACCGGTGGTACAGTTTACTAAAACATGCATTTTTTTTTTTTTTTTTTTTTTTTTTTTTTTTTTTTTTGCATAGGAATGTTTGGTCGGAAGTGACGCATTGAGGAATGAACTCACTTTCAAAACAAATTTCTCGCAATAAGCAGGCACAATGCACCAAAGAATACCCGTCACGTGACGAGTTTCAATTCTTCTGGATTGCAACCCCGAAGCACAATCTTTTTTTATTCTTACACTGCGTTTTCATTTATGAGACTCCAATTGACTCAATTGAGAACCTGTCTGCTGGACTATCCATTACGGCTTGAAGCGTGCGCGAAATGCCTTTCATCTTTGGAACTGTTTGACAATCATTCCTTCAACGCTACCAAGCATGTATTACTGTTGGTGGTCACAATGCAAACATTGAACCAAAGATGTACTTTGCAATGATGTCGTAATTAGACAGTATTTTTCTTTCCGTGTTACCGTTTTTATTTTCGGCCTGAACACGTCACTTCCGACCATACAGTCCTCTACAAAAAATATAAATTTTAGTAAGCTGCTCGAAGTTTGTCCCATGACTGATGAATCCCCCTAAATCTTTTGTTGTTGTTTCTTATCCCACTTGGCTGGCCAAGCCCACAAGCCCATATGGACTCATGATTGAAGGGGAAGGAAGCAGCTTCTGTTGTGATGGAACACCCGTAGGTAGAAGCCTGACTTTTGCTCCGTGACGCTCTTACAGTCATAGAAGACCGGGACCTACGGCTTAAAGTGGATTCCGAACCACTACAAACATCCATGGCACCGCCGGGATTCGAACCCGAAACCTGTGGCACCGAGCGCCAGAGCGCTAGACACTCGGCCATTCAGGTCCCAAATTTGCCAACGGCACGCAGTGTTCCCAGGTGGTCACCCACCCAAGTACTGACCGCGCCCAATGATGCTTAACTTCGGTGATCTAACGAGAACCGGTATATTCAGTCAGCATGGTACGGCCGTTGGCTCCTAAATCTAATATATATATATATATATATATATATTATTATTATTATTATTATTATTATTATTATTATTATTATTATTATTATTATTATTTAATAAAACTGCAATTGAAATAAATAAGGAGCTCAATATTCTTTGAAATTTAATATTATTCTTAATCGCTAAATTTTTCCTTTTCTGTTTTCACAAAAACCACAGAGCAGATTTTGAATTCCATTTTATTGTTTTAATTAAAATATTTTTTTTTTCAAAAAAATAACGCGTACGCTTCGATGCTCATGCCAAAATATGAATAAATTTAAATCGTTAATTCGAAGTTTCTAATTTTTATGGTTGAAAAAATAAAAATAAGTAGAAGGAGAAAATTAAAAAAAAATAATAATAATTCCCCGTGAAATTTAGAAGAGATACATATATTTATAAATTTTCCAGAGTAATTATTTTAACATTGTTATCTTAACTATTCAAACTACTTTATGCAAAATAAGGGATAACAACATCGTTATATATTTATACATTTGGCAGAATTTCATTTGAAGTTCTTTTATAATTAGATTAGTAACGATGTTAGTTGCAAATTCAATAACTTGTTTCTGATAATCATATTCTAAAACAAGTTATGAATTCATTCAAGCAAAATAACGAGATAGACTTGTGGCGTACAAATGAAACCAAAATGTGCACCACTATCCAATTAATGTAGGATTCATGGTTCTTTTCTTTATTAAATCCCAAACAATAGGGTTTTTTCGTTCCATAGAAATTTTGAAATAAATTCTTTCTTATCTGAATTAAAACATTTAATTCATCAATCAATGAATATTTTTTTTTAATCATACGTTATAAAAATGTATTGCAGTAAAACAATAAAAATGAGAAAATTAGTATAATGATAAAATCTTTAAACAAAAAAATAGTGTTAAAAACCCCATGGTGTGATGGGCATGATTTTATTGTACGAAAACTGTCAATCTTCAATTTAAAATAAATACCAGTTATAAAGAAGGTTTTAAGTTTTCTAATATTAAATATATTAGAAACAGGACTATGATATTGGATATTACAAACAGGACTATGATATGGGATATTACAAACAGGACTATGATATTGGATATTAGAAACACGACTATAGTATTGGATATTAGAAACACGACTATGTATTGAATATTAGAAACACGACTATGGTATTGAATATTAGAAACACGACTATGATATTGAATATTAGAAACACGACTATGATATTGAATATTAGAAACACGACTATGGTATTGAATATTAGAAACACGACTATGATATTGAATATTAGAAACACGACTATGATATTGAATATTATAAACACGACTATGATATTGAATATTATATTATGATAATATTGAATATTATACTATGATATTGAATATTATACTCTGATATTGAATATTATACTCTGATATTAAGTATTATACTCTGATATTGAATATTATACTATGATATTGAATATTATACTATGATATTGAATATTATACTATGATATTGAATATTATACTATGATATTGAATATTATACTGTGATATTGAATATTATACTGTGATATTGAATATTATACTGTGATATTGAATATTATACTGTGATATTGAATATTATACTGTGATATTGAATATTATACCTTCCTCCAAAGGTTTGCAAAAGAAAAAATATTCAAAATTTCAATTTTTATAATTCAAAATTATTCGAATATTAACAATGCATTGCAACAATATTGTTGAAATCAACAGCTTTAACGGAATGGATTCAATAATTGAAAATGAGATATTACATTCATGTAAATGTATATGAAATAAGAAGCTACAATCTGAAGATTTCACTTTTTACTTCTGCACAATCAGCAGATATTTCATTCTGATATAAAAAGTATTAAGTTCAAAAAGATAATAAAAATCTATCTATAAGCTAATAAAAATTAAATTAGCATGTTTAGATCTTTAACATAAGTAAATGCCATCATTTATTTATACTAAAATAACGAAAAAAAATTACGGGTATTAAAATCTCATTTAAATAAACATTTCATCCAAATTCAGAAATGCTAATATAACTTCTAAAATTATGTACATTGCATGATTTGCGTTTTTTTCTACTTTCATCTGCGTCTTATGAAGTATTAACCGCAGCTGAAATTAAACTGATATGCTGCATCAAAATTTAATTTATTTACTTCATTTGATAGTAGTTAATCGGATAACGTATATACAATAATTATTATTAAAATACCATGTTATCATACGAGTACACACATGTAAATGCACTTTCTTGAATAAATATTGCACGCAATATAAATCTATTCATAAATTACTTAAGCTGATGATATCCAAAATTGCCTCATTAATATTTACCATCCAAAATTACCTTATTAAAAGATACAGATTACAAGCATTTAAAATTGCACTTTATGCGTATAACAGTATATACTTATATTTATGGGCACTATAATACCATAAGGCATTAAAACTGGTGTTGGTTTAAATATGGGTATTATTATGGCGTAGTAAATGCACCATTTAATAAAATATGCTTAAAACATTTATGTTGAACTAACTCACGTAATAAGATTCCACAAAACTTATAAAATGATTAATAATTTATATTATGTAAGAAATCAAGAAATATTGATTAATGATGAAATATTGTTTTTTAAATAAGATCGCGTACAAGTAAGTTATAACTAATCTTTATCTGAATACCAACTTTATTTGATAAATAAAAAAAACTGTAAAACTTTACTTAATTTAAAATAATATTTTTTTTTTTACTCATTTAACTTACTTTGTATTTTATGTCTTTAAAAATATTAAAGAGAAGATCTAAAAATAAATTTACTTTTTTAATAATTGTACAACTGTTTCTTTTTTGTTGTTGTTTTTGTTTAGTTTATAAAAGATTAACACTCTTAACAAATGTATAGGGTTATCCTAAAGTCAGGAAAAACTTTAAAAATCAATAATTTGAAAACAAAGTTAGAAACATGCTGTTTGAATAGAGGTAATGGAGCTGAAGCGAGTCTGTCAGAAAAAAAAATCAGATCTGCCAGAAAAAAAAATATTGCAAGAAAATTTAAATTATTTACCACCAGATGGCACTGTCATTTGAACATTTATGCATTCCAAGGATTATACGTCAGGTGGATTAACGTTCAGAAATTTTCAATAGACCGGCCATAATTCAGCAACTCAGTTGTCAGACGAAGCACCACACTATTTAGAGCGTTATGCAACATTTCTGGTGGTCATGGTATATATATATGTTTCCGTAATGCACCTTTCAGTATTTCCAATCACGCTGTTCTTTCAAGGTACGCTTTTAAATTCAGGTATCCCCTCAACCAGGAGATCTGGAGGGCCATACATAAGCAAAGGATCACCTTGAATGTTGAGCGTAGCAATATAGTATGGGATCCTCAATCCGAGGGTTCATTTTCTGCGTGCAGAAGCTGTCTATAGGGGAAAAAAAGAACTTCTCAAGAATGGCGTTGCCAGATAAAGTTTATCTTTATATATTGCTGGACAACTCGTCTGTACCTTGACAATACCCTCTTTTGCTAAAAAATGCTTCATTTTCATCTTTTTTAAGAAAATGATATTTTTATATCTTTAATAATGTTCAACTGATTGTTTTCTAAAGTTTGCTCTGACTTTTAGATCTCCCTGTATATAGAACTTTAGACTCCGAATTAAAAAATAAATTATTGTTAATTTGCATAGTATATAGTATTAAATTGGAGGGTTAAAGTCTAATACGTAATTCTTGTAAAACCAATAAAGAACTTAAAAAATCAATTAAAAATTATATTTAATTTTAAATTTTGACTCGGCTTTGTTCTCTCTGTTTACTACATAAATGTATAGAAAATATAAGGAATTTGTATGAAAAAAATATACCATACAATTAAAATCTAAATATATTAATATTGCATAGTACTGTAGAAATATATTAAAAATATAATATACAATAGAAGAAAAATACTATTCTGTTTATTATGTATAAAACGTACATGAACATTACACAAAGGATATATATCAGAATAATACACAAATAAAATATATTTTATTTCCTCTTCATACAGAGATACATATAGAAAAAAGAAGTTAAGTGTTCAATTAAAAACAAACAGCTTTACAAATAAATCCTTATAATTAAATTAGCTGAAATTATGTATAGAGAAAGAAAGTATGCATGCAATATTCTTTCTTCCAAATCAACATTTACAAGGAACTGTGCTTTTATTGTAGTGTGTTGTGCAAAACTCTGTTGCTCTTTATTTCGTTTATACTTGTTAAACCTATGACAAATCACTAGAAATAATAATTTTAAAAATATAAATAGGAGCAGTATTTTTATAAAAAGATTGCCAAGTAATATGTAAAAAATGCTTCTTTGCAGCCACAGAAACATTCACACCTAAGTAATTTATTCCCCACATAGCACCTTAAAAATTATTTCACTATTCCCTTCGCAAACAAACATCCCCAAAACAATTGCACTGGCAATGGAAATGAGAACTCTTCTTTACCTTTCACCATTTCAGAAAGCAGCTCCATTTCCAGACGTACCATCCTGTTACCCTTACCCTTAATAATTCTCAGGTAATTCTTCTGAAGCAGATTAGAAGGGTAATTCGTTGCATGAGTTTTAAAACATTTTGGAAACGCGGCGGAAGTAGCAGATGTTAGGATTCTTGCTGCGACCTATCAGTAACAATATGTGAGGCTACGCTGACGGAAAAGTCATTTACCAGCTGTCCACCATGGAAGCTCTGTGATAAATCTCTTTGCCAGACAAGGGTTTTCATCATCTATATAGGCGATCACGAGACAGGTGTTGAAAGCGATCTTTCAACATGTTTTGGAGAGGAAAGTAGTTCTCGCTGCGTTCTGACAGCACTGGGAAGAGGGTTAAGCGGTATATAATTAAAATACGGTTTTGAGGAGAGTTTGCGGGACGTTTCCAAAGTTTCGATTAT